GGAAGTTGGTTTCTAGGAAGGAAGGAAGGAAGGAAGGAAGGAAGGAAGGAAGGAAGGAAGGAAGGAAGGAAGGAAAAAGCACGAAGACACTGGAGAAAGAGGAACACAGAAGTTGGTTTCAAGGAAGGAAGGAAGGAAGGAAGGAAAAGCACAAAGACACTGAAGGAAGAGGAACATGGAAGTTGGTTTCTAGGAAGGAAGGAAGGAAGGAAGGAAGGAAGGAAGGAAGGAAGGAAGGAAGGAAGGAAGGAAGGAAGGAGAACACGGAAGATAGTTTCTAGGAAGGAGGGGGGAAGAGGATAAATCCAAGCACGGGAATTATGACCTGGTCTTTAAAGGGTTAGCTTCGCCCATTCATTTTGGAATTTAAGGCTGTGACAAGCCCACTGAGGTGTTGATCTTAGGAGGAAGATTGGGGCAAAATTTTGGCTGGAAAAATCTGGGCAACCACCAGAAGGCACAAAAGAGGTAAAAAGCTGTGACTCTTTGCTGCCACCTAGTGGTGCCATGATTTCTGCAGCTCAAATAGGCCATATAGTATAATTCTCCTCCTCCTCTTCCTCATCTCTTCTCTTACATATTTTAGATTTTTAAATCCTTTATTGTTTTTAGAATTCATTTAGTGACTGTCTGAAGTTACAACGAATAAAGCAGACCGAATAAAGCAACGTAGGACTGTTTTCCACACTTATGATTGTTGCAACCTCCCCCCGTGGTCTCGTGATCAATAGTCATACGCTTGGCAACTGACTCATATTTATGACGGTTGCAGTGTCCCAGAGTCACGTGATCCCCATTTGTAACCTTCCCAGCCAGCTCCCGACAAGCCAAGTCAATGGGAGAAGCCAGATTTGTTTAATGACCATATGATTCACTTAACAACTGCTGTGATTTGCTTAACAACCGTGGCAAAATGGGTTGTAAAATGAGGCGCCATTCACTTAACAACTGCCCCGGTTACAGTGGCAACAGAAAATTTGGCCTCAGCTGTAACCATAAGTCGAGAACATCCTTGTAATGGCTTCTGCTGCTGAATTTTAGACTGCGGACTCAGAAGTCAACCTAGTTCAGGTAAATCAACATGGTTTGCTGGGGAATTCTGGGAATTGAAGTCCACAAGTCTTATACAGTAAGTGCAAAGGTTGGATACCCTGAGTTGAATGATCTGCTAAAGCAGGGGTGTGAAACTCAATTTCACTGCGGGCCGCATCAGCATTGTGGTTGCCCTGGGGGGAGCAGGTGGGTGTGGCCTTCTGGGTGGGTGTGATGGAGTGGGTGTGGCCTACTGGGTGGACGTGGCCAGTTCTACATCATTCGCATCAAGGGTGCCTGTGGGGGGCCTGGGCAGGAGTAGGACAGATCTGAGGGTCTCTGGCAGAAGGGGGTGGGACCGGGGCTAGCGCCAAGGCACGATCCATTTCTTCATTCCTCACAAAGGGTGACACCTCCCCAGCATGCACCCAGGGGGCAGGGCCGTCACGGCAGGGGCTGGTTCCTCGCTGTTTCCAGACGGCCTTGTGGAGCTAAGACTGAATGCATTTCAGCATAGATGGCCACCACAAAATTGTACATTGGCTCCCAGCTGGCCTGGGCCAGGGTCAAGGCAGCCAGGGTTGTTCCCTCACTGTTTCCAGGATGGCTTTGCGGGCCACATGAAACCACTTTGCGGGCTGCATTTGGCCCCCGGGCCTTGTGTTTGACATGCTAAAGCATTTCGTTCCAGCCTGCTGGAAATTCTACTGACGGGAAACCTACCATTTAAGGAGGCATCCTATTTCATTGGCTTTTATCAAAAGAACTCTAACTTCTCACCTGAATCTATTTTGTGTTAGTTTCAACTCATTGTTTATCAGCCTGCGCCTGGAGTGAGAAAGCAGGCTCAGTTCCTACTCTTATAAGATAATCCATAGCTGAAGGCTGCTTGCTAACCAGATCTGTTGTCTATATGGAGATTCTCAATCATCCAGGTCATGGTTGTCCCAAAGAACTGAAGAAGCTTCTTGGATGAGAAGCAAATTTTTTTCAAGGAAAAAAAAAAATCAAGAAAGTCCAGTTGCCTTTCAAAAAGTAACTTTGGGACTGCCAGCCAACCATGCTGATTTAGCTGTTGGTCTTCTCTTCTGTAAATTAAACATAACCAGTTCTTTTCACTGCTCCTTGGAGGTCTTGAGTCCCCTCACCATCTTGATAGCCCTCCTCTGAACTATTCAGGTTTAGATTGAAGTGCCTACAATATTCTGGTAGTGCCTAAAGCAGTTTGACAACTACTGACTTCCTTTGATCAGGATTCTGCTAATAAATCTCCAAGTGGCCCTCGCCTTTTTAGCAGAAGCATCACAAAGCTGGTTTAAGTTCAGGTTGTGACCTACTGAATCACCCCAGAACTATACATTTCTCCGTTAAATTTAATCCAGTGCATTTATAATAATAATAATAACAACAAAACAAACAACAAATAATAACAATAATGATGATAATAATGATAACGATAATAATAATAAAGTTGGAAGGGACCTTGGAGGTCATCGAGTCCAACCCCCTGCTCAGGCAGGAAACCCTATACCATTTCAGTCTCCTCTTAAAAACTTCCAGTGTTGGGGCATTCACCGCTCCTGGAGGCAGGTTGTTCCACTGGTTAATTGTTTTAATTGTCGGGAAGTTTCTCCTTAGTTCCAGGTTGCTTGTCTCCTTGATTAGTTTCCATCCATTGCTTCTTCTCCTGCCTTCAGGTGCTTTGGAGAATAGCTTGACTCCCTCTTCTTTGTGGCAGCCCCTGAGATATTGGGACACTGCTATCATGTCCCCCCTCGTCCTTCTCTTCATTAAACTAGACATACCCAATTCCAGCAACCGTTCCTTAATTTTTATCCCATTGTTCAAGCCAACATGTAATTAATGTAATGTTTTTAAAAGGCATTAAAAGTTCCACTCATGGGTCACCCCCAATATCTTTACAGATTCTCCTGTTACAAACCAGTACCACTTTGAAAGGGTTTGAGATCCTGTACTAATTTTTAATCAGCTGAATGCCAAAAGATTGTTACATCGCCCATGTACTGCTGTAGTTTCTATGATCAAGTAAATGGCTTGTTTTAATCATTTTAATTTTAAAAATCCCAAAACTCAGGAAGGTGTAAAGGAGGACAGCTCCAAAACAAAGCCGTTAAGCATAACCCAGCCAGTTAAGAATGAAATTACTGCTAATGCATTAGCCATTTCAAAGCAGCAATAAAATGGGCTAAAATTTTAAGTTTTCTTTACATATTTTCAAGTTTTTTCCCCAGAGGAAATTTCTAATCAGCTACTAATAAGGAGCAAAGGAGGTTAGAGAGCACAATTGTTTTCATTTAAGTTTAATTTCCATTGATTCAGTGTGCAGAGAACAGGAAAAGCTGTCAAACTGCAGGTTCTAAGCTTATTCATATATTAGCTTGCAGTCACATATTTTGCATGCATGAAATTTATTTTCTAAAGAGCAGCAGCACGCTATACCCATCACCCAATCATCTTTTGATCAGAACCATCCTTCACGAATTTTTGTCATTCTCTCCCTTTCTCCTAAATAGAAAAAATTAAACTGCATTAAAGAGTATTGCATTGGATGGCGATTGTAGGTTAAATTAAGTATTATCTGTAGCACAGATAAGACACACACACAAAATGCAACTTTATTAGCAGAGGATGGTTTCGATCCATCGACCTCTGGGTTATGGGCCCAGCACGCTTCCGCTGCGCCACTCTGCTCTCTGAAAATATTTCTGCTTTTTTTCCCTAAAAATGAAGCCATTACACAAACACCACACACACACACAAAATGCAAAAACATTCCTTTGCAACTTTTTTTTTTTACAAAAGCAAAAACTTTAACACAAAGTGGAACAGCCCTCTCTTGAAAACGTGGGTGGCCCTTAAAAGGACCTTTTGTTATATTAGAAAGAAAAAGAAACTTAGCCGCCGAAGCCGTAGAGAGTGCGGCCCTGGCGCTTCAAGGCGTAGACCACGTCCATGGCGGTGACCGTCTTCCTCTTGGCGTGCTCGGTGTAGGTGACGGCATCGCGAATCACGTTCTCCAGGAAGACCTTCAGGACGCCGCGAGTCTCCTCGTAGATCAGGCCCGAAATACGC